TTCTACTACTACTACTTTTTCTACTACTACTACTACTACTACTACTACTAATACCACTACTACTACTACTACTACTACTACTACTGCTACTGCTACTGCTACTGCTAGACTCTACTTCTACTAGTACTAGCAGTACGAGTAGTCTAGCAGTAGTCTTAGTCTGCCATGATCGTGGTGATTGCAGTGTCCTTTGCTTTGGGTTTGTGGCACACCTGAGTTCAAAACCACAGGAACGGCATAGTCATAGTCACTGACAAGGCTAGGTTGGCTTATCATGCAGGCGACCTAAAGCCTTTCAGACTGTAAATGGTGTTGAAATCTTCGTCATTGCTTTCGCTTTCACAGCCTCGCACGACTGGTGAGGACTCCGTGGAGATTGCCCACACCTTGGGCGGCAACACACGAACCGGCGGCCAGAAGCTGGCAGGTATCCGCGGTTGGCTTGCGAGGTATGACAGCCGCTGGGCGGAGCTTGGCAAGGTTTTGGGTTTTGTATGTGGCCACAGAGCTTGGTAAGCATCATACTCGCGCAAAACATCGCAAGTCCAAGCCAGGACATTTCGAATATGCTGCTTCCGTCGTTGTGGGACTGCACGTCATACTGCTCCTTGTGGAGCTGGAACTGGAAAGCGTGGTTCCATCGTTTCCTGTTGCCGGACATGGGCAGGGACAGATCTTTCGTTTTGAAGACTAGTCCTGATTGTCTAGTATGTGGTAGCTGGATGTTCCTGGCATTCCTATATTACCAACAGCCATTACCGAAAGAAGTTCCCTAAGCCCTAAACCCCAAACCCCAAGCCCCTAAACTTTGTGAGACCTCGTCAGGAGCGAGTTCTGCCTTGGCTCTGGACCTATCCGACTGGCCAGCAGTGGCCGAGAATCCCTGGAGATATCAGTTACGGGTGTGCCTGGAGCAGCAAAGGGGATGCTGACTTCAGGGCTTCGTTTCCCAACTCTGTAGCGGATTTGGTGCAAATTTCTACGCGAACCCAGCTTTGTCATGCGATTTGCAATTGCCATGCGATGTGGCTAGTGACTTCAGAGCAGGTTTAGCCACTGCGGCAGGGGGATGTGGTTCAGTCTCTCGGTGCTTCCCACCTTGCAGGCGTACTTTTGCAAATCTTTCAGAAAAGCGCAACATGCGAGGTAACCGGATATGTTCCTGGTCATTGATCAGGCTTGTCAGCATCCGAGGCTCGACGTGGTGTTCGACTTCTATTTTCTCCTGGATTTGTCCCTGCGGATGTTCGTCCAACGATGTAGCTTCTGCCGCCAGGAAGCAATGTGAGCTGCAAAGGCCTTGGTGAGGTTGGGCCGCACACTAAACAGGCTACATATTCCTGAGCCTGGATCCTTTCATCGACATTCTACCCCGCAGTGCTGAGGCAAATCCAGCATGAACTGCTTCGAGGCGTGTCTTACAGCGGGCTCCCTGGCTGATCTGGTGATCATTGCAAACGCTGGCGGTCTTGCCCATCCCGCAGATGCGCTCTTCGGCCGCAGTGCTCTGGGCACAGTTCCGTTGCTGGTGTTCCTGGATGGCGTAATGTGGCATTATTGTCAGTTGTTTTCCGGCATTCACGATGGTGGTGATTGTGAGTTATGGAGCGATAGGTGGTGCACTACACGCGTGTTCATGCCTGCATGTGTAGCTCAACACCGACCTGGCACCAAGCCGAGCGAGCTTCAAGAAAGGCATACAAAACTCAGGCAGCGGACTGCGTGACCTGCTGCATACACGAGCACAGGCAGAGCTGTCAAGGAACGCAATTGAAGGATGTTGCTTTGCTTTTCGCGCTTTTCTGGAGTTGAGACTTTCACCTTGCAAGGACGGTCCTGCATCTGATCCGAGCGGCTGCATCCTTGCGACTGATTCGCTTCTGTCGCTTGCTTATATCAAGCACGCAGGGACAGTTTTCAAGTTTGCAGGATGGCAGATCTCGCGGATTGCTACCGATTCCAGTCAGATGTCATGAGTCGGGATGTGTTGTGGAGTGTTTTTGGCTTACATCCTTACAAGTCTATGCCTCTCACGCAGTTGAGACCGCGCCCGATGTCAAGGACACGGGCTGGGAAATTTGGGAGCCAAGCACTTCAGCGGTTTGACCGTTAGCTTGCTCGACCGAGGCAAGTTTGTCGAGGGCGTGCACATGCTTTTGAAGCTCGACCGGTTTGGTTGCTGCACCGTTTTGCAAGAAGTTGCCTGCCTCGCAGGCCTGAGTCAGAAGGCACTCGTAGTCGCGGATAGGGTTTATCCAAGCATCCGCAGGCCACGATCAGCAGCACCGGTATTATCGCAACACATGGTGACTTACAGTTTTCAGTGTTATCACTGTCACTGCAGTGATGTCAATGGTTTTTGTTGGACTGGTAGCAATCGGTACATGCGCGGTCACGAACCCTTCCTCCCTGATTTGATTACTGCCCCTTTTGCGTCTGCGGCTGCAGCATGCCTAGTCATAGCTTATGTTCAGATCAGTGTCTGATGTTTGCATGGGGTCACTGTGCTATTGAAAGGGGGTTAGTCTTACGAGATACTTGTCGACGACGCCAGTTGTTGCTGCTATTGATCACTCGGCTTTCACGATTATGATGACCGACACGCTTGCTACGACCAGAAGTGTTTCGAAAGGCGCACGATCAGATTCCGTGGGCACCCAAGGTCCGAGCGAGGCTGCGTTGAGCCACATACTAACTCGATAAGTCAAGAAAGCAGCGAATCCTACTGATGTTTGCCCTATACTGGCCTGAAAGAGACAGGAACACTCGTCCCGAAACCACCGGTGTGTGCGAAGCACTTCAAGCAACAAACGATCGACCGAGGAAGGCGTGCACTTCATTTTTGCCCTCCTTATGTTGGTCGATGGTGCTGCTGACGATTTTCATGCTGGTGGGGGCACTGACGTCGCTTGGTGATCTACCCATGTCATTCAAGGCGGTCATAGTGTATTCGGCTTCGTCATGCCACCGACATCATCATGGTCTCATGGTCATCACAAATCTTCATCGTCATCTGCATCACCAACATCAACCACGGCATCATCAGCGACCTGTCATCAACAATCCTCAGACTGCTCAAGCTCGACCTGGTGCCTGCAGCTTGCGAGGATAGGAAACCTCATCCAGGACTACATCACCAATCCGCAAGTGAACAGAGAAGACAGAATCTGGTTGTGGCAACATTACGGAGCTTCGGACCAAATGGGGAAGAAGTTTGGGCAGTGCTTTCACCGCCTGAACGGGATGTGGGTGTGCAGAGATTCGTCGTCAAGCCCGGCTCAATCCAAGTTTCAAGCATATCTTGCACTTGAGCTTATACACCTGTAGACTCTGTTGTTGTTAAGGAACCGCCCAGCGATCTTTGTACACCATCTACGAAATAACTTTTGCTCGAAGCTCAGTTGGTCCCATGCCGCCTCAATCTTGAATTCACAGCACCTTCGTCTTACGTCCGCTGTGTTCATTGGGGACGTCTCGCAGCTACTGCTGGGGCCAGATGCTAGGTTCAGGATCATCTCGACGATCCGGTTTGTCGCTTTGATTTGGGGAAGCCATCCAGAATGCTCAATGATCAGGGTTTCACGCGCCTGTATCTTGTTGACGTCTCGGGGATGACCAGTTCATGAATGCGTCAATCTAAGCTTCGAACGCCAGTCCTCGTCTGGAATTAGGGTTTCGCATAAGAGTATCTTGTGTTTCAGTAGTGTGTATCAAGACCATTTTTAATGATTAATGGAAGTTGATATGACAATCATTGCTCCGTCGTTAATAGCCACAGGTAAGTACTCAATACCACAAGTTTCTTGCAGTACCAGGCATTAACATGTTGTACTAGCTCAGTACTGTTGCTCTTACGACGAGAAGATCCAGAGCCACTCCCAGGCCGGCAATTGGCCCGTCAACGTTCGACCTGTGCTGCTCCTTGCCGCGCAGGGGATGGCTTTCACTGCGCAGTATTGCAACCAATAAATAACAAGTTGCTGCAGCTCGTAGTGGCTCTAAAGTGGGCTCCTCGGGCCACGACTATCCACAAACGCTGTCACCTTCACGACCGCATCCGCTGGCCGAATGTGAGTGCCCAACTTCTATGCTTCGTTCAAGCCCGCTGCACTGAATCACAAATGGAATGAGGAAGAGGGAGGACGGAGCATGCGCTCGTGGAGTCTAACGTTCGGAGGAACGGGAGCTAATGCAGGACGCCAGAACAAGGGCTCTGTCCCTGTGCCACCCGAAACAACTTTAAGGCGCTGGAGGCAGGTGTCGTTGTTTTTGTTTCCGGGCGATGTCACTACCGCACATGGAGCTCACCTGCCGCTGAACCAAGGAGCGGGGCGAACCGTGCATTCGCCTTCTTCTTCGTCGCTTACGTGACCATTATCGTTTCTCGGACGTTCTTCAACATATTGGTGAGTGGAAATCTGTTTTCTGGGGAACTTAAATTGTTTGTCTTTGTTTGCTAGCGTAGTGTTGTTGCTTCTGCCTGTTTAGTGGAGTCACAGGAAGGAAGAAAGGAAGGAAGGACAGGTTAAGAAGTGCGATCCATCGCCATCGCTAGCGGACCCGGTTTTAATTTAAGAAATGTGATCAACCGCCATCGAATGAGGGAGCGGAAAGCAGAGATTCGGAAAACCTCAGGTGAGCTCGTCGAATTTTGGCCAGTCCAACTCATTGGGTAGACAAGCCCACTCAACACAGTTGAGCCTTCAAGATAACTGTGTAATACCCGAATGCAAACCAAACACGCCAAGGGCAGGTAGGCAGACTTCCTTAGTTTGTTTGTTGGTCCTTTTCGTGTCAGGTCAAGTGGGTGACAGCTTGCCCTCTTGAGTTTTCGGTCTGGTGAAACAGGATCGACTAGCAAGAGGTGCGACCTGACGACCAACCATGAACAAAACTGTGTTTGCCTGCTATGCCTATGGGCGGTTGTTTGGTGCGCCACCCGCAAAGTGAGTAGAAAAAGCCAGCGACCTTAAGCTCAAGTCCCGGTGTTGAACTTAAGGGTCTTAGGATTTAGGGTTTAGAGTTTAGGGTCTTTGCTGATCTTGTTTTTATGTTCGTGTTCGAGCGTCCTCACCCCGGAGCAACACACCTCGAGTTCCACACCTGGTATTGAACTTCTGGGTTTCTCTGACCTTAATCAATTTTAAAGACGTGAACCGTCGCATACCAGAACAGTGCCAAAGCAAATGTTTTTTCACATGGTTGCACCGCCGAAAAAGCGGCAATATGTTGAGACCCCGGTGTTGAACTTCATGGTTTCGTTGACCTTAACGGCAACTCTTAACACACCAAAAACTTGGGCCTTAAAACATGGTTTCTCGCTGCAGTGGACCTGCAGAACCTTCAGGAAAACGCCGAATGGCGACGAACTCATCTTCCCGAAACCCGGGTCAGAACAAGCAAAGCTTCGCAAGGTGCAGCTCCCCAGTTTTTGCATGTGTCGGCACGTATTCCAGAGGAGCCCGCAAATTTCCTCCGGGTCTGTTTGGAGCCCATTTCCATGTTTGTTGATACCGTATGTTCTTCAGTAGGTCGCTTATAACCTTGTTGGGGTACCATACACCCTGTATAATCCAAAATTGAAAAGGTTAACCTTTCGTTCCTTAGGGTTCTGGACAACTAAGAACAACCAGTTAAAGTGCCTCCTTGAAGAGCCCAGGTTTTTGCTATCCTGAGAGTCATAACGGCCGTATTCTTGAAGGCCGGCTGGGCCTTGGTTTGGAGTTTTCGGTTTAGGGGCTTACTGTTTAAGGATAAAGGGATTTAGGGTTTAGCCGTAATTGAATTGGGGGTTTGCTGACGGAGAGCTCGCCGGTTGGCTTGCCACGCAGGCACGTCGATCAGCTCGTTAACTTGAACGGACCTTACATCGTAGCTCAACCAAGCAGAGATATAGCTGATATTGTATGAACCTGAACTGTCCTCTACTCTCTCAGCTCGAGTATTGTCGGCATTCAGTGTCTACAGGCAAAGTGATAGCTTCAGAACAGACTTTTGCCAGCGGCAAATGATTTTCAGCAGATTCTGTAAGATTCCAAAGCACTGTCAACTGTGTTATTTTTCTTTCCAGAACAAGATGTGCAAGACAGCCTGGACGCAGCGCAAAGCGATGCTGAACACCAGCTGAAGGTGCAATTGCGCAAAAGGACTTTGCATCCTGAAGCAATCGAGACGGCTTGCAAGCAGGTGTGGGTAGTAGGTAGAAGGCCAGGTGGTGGTAGTAGTAGTAGTAGTAGTAGTAGCAGCAGCAGCAGCCATAGTGGCAGTCCTGGTGGTGGTTATTTGTCGTAGCGGCGGATATTGTCGTGTGGTGGTGGTGGAGGTGGAGGTGGAGGTGGAGATGGTGGTGGAGGAGGTGGTGGCGGTGGCCGTGGCGGCGGTGGTGGCGGTGGTGATGGTGGCGGCGGTCGCGGTGATGGTGGCGGTGGTGGTCGCGGCGGCGGCGGCGGCGGTGGTGGTGGTGGTGGTGACAATTATAATGATAATAATGATAGTCATAGTAGCAGTAGGTGATTAAATTTTTAAAGGTTTGGTACAATTTGTCTTGCGCTACCTGCTTGAGTACGCAGGTCAAGCATTGCAGGTCATGCCGAACTTTCCGACTGCATGAAATTGCATGTTTGCACTACATATTCGTGCAGTGCATCAAGCTCTTGTTGAGGTATACTCGCAAGTTGGACGAAATGTTCAAAGCGATCGACGAGTCTGGTGTCATTACAGAGGCCACTGGGAGTTGCGACCCGATGCCTGTCTAGCAGAGCTCCCCCTAGCCATTATTGTGGCCATCCACATCGGCAGCACATATAATATCATGTGCAGCCCCTGGAGTGCGGCTGCTTTGGCATTTTGGCACATTTCGAGTTGTTGAGTTGCCGCTAACCTCTTCCAACTGCGTAATTGCTTCGTTCGGTGTGCAAGCTGCAAGCATGTCAGCAATCTGCACAATCCCCGAATCGCTTCGAAGACGCATTATGTTCTCCATGCGGCTTTCAATGCTTCCTGATTCCTGCAAGTCACGAAAGCCAGCCTAGGCCCTGGTCTAGTGGAGTTGCGAGTTGCATACCCAAAGCGTTAGCCTCCAATCAGACGTGTGTAGGAGATCCAAACCATGCGGAAGCAGGTTGCCACTTCGGACTGCACGTATGCCGGTTGGGGTTTCCGGCACTTCTAGACCTTCATGCCCTTTCAACCTGAATCCCTTATACCTATCAAGATGCCTGCATGCTGCACTACGCCTTCGCAGAGTTTGCGCGAACATGCGCCGCTGATGCCTTGTTGAACAGGCTCGGCTGAACAGTCTCCTCCACGATCCAACTGTCAAAGCCTACTTTGAGACGTTGGACCTCGATGTGCCGCCCAAATGCATTTGTGTGGAACAACACGGAAGACCTGACTGTAGCTGCTTTAAAGTGGGGTTTGTGCTTCAGTTGCGTTGCACGGATTGTGCTGTTTTCCGGGAGCCTACACCATAGCCCTCCATTGCCGTTCCACTTTGCAGACCCTTCTGTCTCAAAGATGGTTTCACATGAGGTCTGCATAGTGAGGGAGGCAGGTAAAACATCGCACATGGAAGATGTGGATATTGCAACATGAAGACAGGAATATGACTAACGTAAGTGATGGTCGCACTTGAAGCGTAGTACAGCTCGCACTCTGTGCGTCTGCCAGTTGATTTGTTGACCGTGTCCTCCGCTAACCGGGAGGTTTCCCAATGTAAGAAAACGCAGGATTCATAACAGAGTCCGATCTGCTGTGGGCCTCATGATTCCATACTCCAACATAAGTAGGTTCTCGTATGTTACTGTTTGTCACCGGATGAAGATGGAATTTCAAGGTTTCATATTCGACTTTTCGTTAGAAGTTCATACTCAATCCGGAATGTGTTGTGGATGACTTCCTATTCAAAAAGTTTTCCCAGAAAAGCCATTCCACATCCGATGCACTTGGGACAATGCGGATCTCATGATAACAGTTTGACTTGTGGTGGTGCTGCATTGGTCCAGATGCTGTGTTCGGCTAAATTCAGGGGAGAGGCTACAATGTGGACGCAGTAAGTCTACAGTGACACAGCTAAGTGTCTTTTGGATCCCACCCCACACTGGGGGGAAGCACCCGCGGCGGTCGCATCATGTCGTTTGGATCCCACCCCACATTTGGGGCTAGGGATGTCATGTGCCGGGTTTCAGGGTCCCTGTTCGTATTGCCATGTCTCCTCCAGAAAGCGAAAGTCGGATAGCCTGAAACTGGAGATGGCAGCCTGTCTCCTTCTTATATGAGCTGCTTATACGGAGGGGGTCTCGGTCAGCCTGATTCCCGCCGAATAGAAATACAGGCTTGAATAAGTGTTACAAACAAATACAGAGCTGAACAAACTACGGTGTCGAATAGGTTGTTAGAGAAATACAGTACATTTAGGTTGCAATAGGTTTTCTAACGAAACACAGGTTGAATAGGTTTTCAGGGCAAAAACGGGTTGAATAGGTCTTTTACGACATTACGTTTCTTTTGTGCTGTTTGTCTTGAGTGGGTGCTTGTGAAATCGAGCGTCTACATGGGGAGTGGCTGTTGTCGTGAGCTGTTATGCCAATGATGTGCCAACACTGAAGTCATGCGCATTCCCGACTTGTCTGATTGCTATTGTTACATGTCTGAAAGCGCGTGGGCATGGTGATTAGTTGCCAAACTGGCAGACTTTTCAAGGCTCTAGGGCATAATTTTTTGAGAAAGCCTGCGCGCGGCACTCGAAATCCTAAGTTGACGTCTGGGCCAGGAATAGGCTAGCAAGCGCGTGGCCATGGGGAAAGCGATGTGCAGCTATGCTTGTGGTGTGACGTCACACGCCTTGGTGTGACTTCACGCGTTCCCGAGTGACCATGCGGTGTCGCGACTTCACGCTCCCTGGGGCGACATAACCCTACTCCTTGTAGGGGTTGTTTAATACATGGGGGAAGGGATGACGAAGGCTCATGTGGAACGGTCTTCAGAAGTGGCAGAAGGGCCGCCCAAGCAGCATTGCGATAGAGGGCCATGACGGTTGATCGTCGGTGGTCTTGCAATGAGTTTTTATCAAACGTTTCCGGAAACATCTGGAGACCCGCAATTGACCCAAACCGAAATCCAAAGTAAGCAGCCGCGTGCAGTGGTGAAGCGTTTCTCCTTTCTGGTGCTTGGGTCCGACTGAACTTCTTTCCAGAGTCACTTGGGCTGAGGCACGAAGGTACTGCATTGTTCCACATTTTGGACAATGGAGACGGTGAGGTGCGAGAGACTAAGGAAGATCAAGCCAACCTGAGGTTTTCGAAGGTGTAGATTTTTCTGTCAACCCAAGCAGTGGCTCTACAAGCGGTCGGATTTGGACGGTTTTGGAACTTTGGCTTCCGGGTTCGGGGATGTGAGAAGTTCAATCTAGATTGGATTGAACTCACGACTCTTGGGTCAAGTATAGTATGTCCAAGCCGTTCACCGTCAAAGTCCATCAGTAGAAAGTCGCGGTGGTGGTGGTGATTGTCCACATGTCTTGCCAGGTTACGAGAGAGGAATTTATCGATGGCATTCTACGCTGCAAAGGCCCAGCACGTGCGATTGCACCTCGGCCCAGCTAAACGAGAATTGCCAGTATTACTGAAAGCTGGTGCGACGTTGCCCTGCAAAATGGTTGAACTCCAGGACCAGTTGGTCATGCACGCTGAGCTGAAGCAGCTCGAGTCGAAGATTGCCCAGTTCATCCGACTTTTGGTCAGCAAAATTGTTCAGACAGTCATTTCCATTTGTCTCAACTGCAGAAGCCATCACCACGGCTTTCAGATGTTATCAGCATGATGTTGACATTGTTCAGCGGTCGTCACTACAATCAGTACCATGATTGCCCTTGGTCGATTGTTCTTATAACAAGATTGCCCTAGCAGCCCTAGCAGGCACGTTGGGATCAGCGAAAATCGCCGGCCAGCTCAACAGCAACAGGGGAACCAGCAGCAGCAGTTCCCCGACGACGTCGTTTCTGCGATTTTTCCGCCGCTTCGTCAGCAACTACTCGTCAGACCCCAAGCTGGCAACTTGGAGGCGCAGGGGCGAACATACCTCAACAGTTTCAAAGAACCCACCTAGAAATTCAATGGTTGGTGCTTCAGAACTCTAAAAGTTGTCCAGAGGCTGGCGCGCTCCGGGGTTTGCTGTTCAGTTGTTGTTATTTCATTGTACCCTCGCATGGGTCTGGGTCCACACAACTGCAGCTCCCTGCATCTGCATGCAAGGTTCCGGGCCCGACTCGGAGCGAGCCTCACAGTCATAGCAGGTGCAGGCATGCCGTGCGCGGATGGTTTAAGCGAAATCGCCGGGGGCAAAGCCCTCAGTGCGTTTGTAAACGACGGTTCTACCGAATGCGGTCACCAGAAATGACAAGTTTTTGTCCGAGAGAAAGCTCGAGCTGGAAATAAAAGACATGCAGGAACCATGTTAGCATGTGGATGAGGTTCCGAATCCGTGGTTGGAAACTTGCGGTTTTCCGAAATGGACCAGCAGTTGTGTCCATCGTACATATCATCACCATTCGAGCGATGATCATCCTATAGATAGATAGATAGATAGATAGATAGATGCATACGTATCTATAGCTATATATCTAATGTGCATTAGTCTGTACCTGTATCTATATATATATATAATTATATCTATACTCATGTATGTGTATATATATATATAAGGATGTTTGCGCATGGTACATAGATATAGACATGTGTGCGTGTGCTACCGGTACCCCACCTTGTTTGTACAAAGTTTCGAGTGTTGAAAATGGGGCAAACTACGTTTACCATATCTTCTGCTATGTTGTACGGTATTCCGTCATGTCACGTTGTTATCTTGTCACATGACATGTAGGTGTATATACATTGATTGGCATAGACATGTGTGTATACATACATACATACATACATACATACATACATATGTTTCTATTTATTTATTTTTATCTGTATATGTACACATATAGATATATATGTATGTAACTATGTATGTTGGTATGCGTGTGTGTGTGTGTCAGTGCATTTATCATATCTGGCCTCATAGCTGTATGTGACTATATCTGTGCAAATGCCGAAAAAACGCACACATGCATAGAGAAGCTGCAACATTCGACAGGCTTCGGGAGGTCCTGGATGAGACTGGGGCCCGGCTCGACGATGCGGTGCGCACTGAGGGCTGCGGGACGGTTTTGGGGTGTGGGTCGATAGATTGCCTGGGAAGTTTGGGGATGTTTCCATTACTAACATCATAGACTCTGAACCCTCAACCGTACAGATGGCAAGCAAATCGTCGAAGCCTTCCTAGTTGGATCATACTGGTATAGGGTTTCCGATATTTCAGGATATCTGTTTCGTGGGTGAGGTCCCTGGTTTTCGGAGAGGACCATCGAACTTTGTAGCAGCTGCTGATTTGCAGGGATGTCTGTTGTGGCAGCTGGTTGTTTAGGTCGGCGAGTTTCTGGTTGTGGCACTGCAAGATCACAGTATAGTGTCATTCTACCATCACAATCTAGCTGCACAAGTAGCTATCCATCTTTCTATCTGCCTGCCTATCTTCCTATTTCTCTGCGCGTATGTCTGCAGGTAGGTATGCGTACGTATATGTATGTATGTATGTATGTATGTATGTATGTATGTATGTATATATATATATATACGTGTGTGTGTACATATATATATATATGTTTGCATGCGAGTGACAGTGAAACTAGAGCTGTCATCGTGCATTTGCTGTTGGGTGTGCGCATGCCTCTCATTGAATCATTGTGGATCAGAACCATGCGTGCTTTGCCAAGGTTCCACGCAATGTAGTTCATTATGATTCCATGTCTACAAGAGGGCTTAAGCACAAAATTATTACTTTTGCCAACACTTGCGACGCTCTTGTCAGGGCATTTCCAGTGTTGATTAACAGCGGACACCTGGCGTCGGTGCTGCGTGCTTGCATTTTTGTGTTGTGACAAAGCCTGGCCTATCCTTTCGCTTGTCTGTGCCATGGTCCCTGCCCATCTCCGCTGGAAGCGATCGCTTTGTGCTCTCAGCGTGCTGTGCGCCGTGTCGCAGCAAAGTTCAGCCCTGACAGTTTTATATGGTCTCTAAGTTTTTGCAGAACTGAACCGGGTTAAAAATGAAAGAAAGAAACACGGTTCTAGTCCCAAGCTTGCAGGTGCTTGGGGGCAGCTCTCGTCTTCTTGGCTTCGCAGGTTGTCGCCCACAGAAGTCTGAAAGGCTGCAGGATCTGCAGGTCCATGCCAGCTCAGAAGATGTTTGGAAGGCGGCATATGATGCAGAGATGGAGCGCAACGAGCTCCTGCGAGAGCAGCTGCGTAGCCTCGACATAGGCGAGTCCTCGGACTTGCCAGAAGCATGTGAAGTTGATTGGAAAGACAGCTATGAGAAATTGGCTGCATGCAATCAAGAGCTGGAAGAGACATTGCGCAGTGGCGGTGGCCTTCAGGCCGGAGGACGTAGTGCTCAAGTACAGCAGCAGACTGCCGCGATGAAACCCCTGGTCTTCGAGGTACCGCTTCCGGAGCAGGGAAATGAGAGATTGGAACTTGTCCGCTACTTCACCGATGGTCGTGAAGTGGCTTTTTACATGATTCGAGCTCGCCTTCCACTTGGCCTGCAGCTGACAAAGTGCAACAGTGGACCACTGAAGGCAAGGCTAGTAGCAGATCTCCCCCGACCCTTGCACCTGCAGCTAAGTCTAATGCACTGAGGCCGAGGCTCTCGAAGGTTAGTCTGCCGAAAACCCCCATCTTCTCGAGGGAGCCTTCTTGGTGGAAGACGTGGTCGAGGGCGGTCAGGCGTGGCAAGGCGGCGTGGTCCTGGCAGGCTGGGGGCCGGGACTCCTAAGCGGTAAAAGGGTCCACGACGCAGCGGTACAAAAACGTTCAGTTTGAGCATAGCTGGGCCTCTAAGAATTTTCCAGAAGACATCTACAAAGTTATGCGGAAGGCAGCCAAAGCGGTCTTTACAATTTGTTGCGGTATGGTTTTGGATGTCATAGGTGCACTTCGGATGCAAGGAATGGTGATATCCGGGTAAGCCGCAGGCGACATCCTCCACGCTGTCACCGTGGTGCCTTGGATGCGTCTCAGCTCCGCGAGAGCCAGAACGAAGTTATGATCATTGTCACATATTGTCACACCAAGACCAACCCGAATTGTAACACATAAGACGCTGCGAGTGATAGTGAAATCGACAATGTAAGGACAGCTGCTGCAGCAGCAGTGGCAAAAAGCCGGAACACCCGAAGACTCACCCAAGGGCAAAACGACTGTTGGGTAGCTGTTGACCAGGTGATGGACAGGGCGAACCTGGGCATCAAGACTGAAGACTTCGTCTCCAACGTCGTGGGAGGTCTGGGGCGCTGGAGGCAAACAATCCTCGACACCTCCTTCATCAATACAGTCGACGCCCAGCTGAGTCTAAATGCAGCCACCGGCTGGCTATAGGTAGTATGGGCGCCTTAATGATTAGAATAGGGTTTGGGCTATTCTACTTATTCAGGCCCCTACATTATCCCTGAAATCCTTGGTGATTATCTCATTCTCGGCTGCAGGTCAGCTCACACAGACGTTAAAGGTGACGACCTAGGAGGAAATGTGCACTGCAAATGGGTCCCTGAAAAGGATGGGCAATGGGTGGGCTCTGAATTTATTTGCTCAATGCACACTTCCGAATAGGATGTGTTTTTTTTAAATTAGCTCGGCAAAACCCTGCCATAAGGAAGACCTCGTGGCACAGATGCAATCGAACAAAGCCATGGGCACCGACACGGAGCTCGCCTTGGTCTTTGAACGGGACCTTTCCGAATCGCCTCGGCCTCCTGAGGTATTGGACCCAGTTGAAGCAGAGTGAAACAAGCTTGGGGAATAAGGTTTAGGGTGTTTAGGGTTTAGGGTTTTTGAAGTTTTTTGAAGATGATTTGATATGGCAGTTCTGCTTTGCGTGAACCTACCATCGGGGGGGGGGGGCTGCCTCGGGCACGGCGTTTGAAGCCGATGCCACTGGCAGCCGATAATTGCTTCAGAGAAGAGCAGGACTCCGAAATCTGTGCGGTCCCTCTTCGATTTAAGATTCCTAGGAGTACTGTGAGCTGTGGAGGCACTCGATAGCCTTCCACGGTACCAGACTGCAAGAGCAGAGACCCTATGACTTCACTGAAGCGGAAAAGGACCTAGCGTAAAGTTCTGAACCATAAGTAACTGCCTTCCTTATAGTCCCTTTTGTAAACTACAGAACTATAGTTACAGTATTAGTTTGCCCAAAGCCCTATTCTAATTGCGAAGGCCCCTTAATACCCTACACCCTCAACCTAAACCGAAGCATAGCCAGATATCTGTTGGATCACCAGCTAAAGAGGAACAGTAAACCGAAGGAGGTGGGAAAAACCCATTCCAAGCCTGCCCTATGGGGCTCTCCAGCTACTAACCGTGCAGTTGGAAAAAGGTGTCAAAAAAAAAACCACCCAATGGCCAGGATGTCAGTGCGGCCACCTGGGCTCTCGCTGAGCTGGGCCTCGATGACAGGCGGGTCCTCTGAGGGCATGAGATCTGGGTATAGGGTTTAGGGACGTTTAGGGTGTGTGTGTGTGTATATATATATATATTAATATATACAGTCAGGGTATCAGGCTTAGAGTTGTGGATTCAGGGTTTTAGGTTTTAGTGTGTTTGTGTTGTTGCTCTTAGTGCTATCCTTGTTTTTCCGGACTATAGATCATTGCTGCTGATGTGTTTCGGCTATTGTCTTTCGTCAAACACCTGCTATGGCATATGGCCACTGTGATTGTAAATTGTAATTGCAGCGATTCCGGCAGTAGTTTGGGGTCGCCATTATCGGACTTTGATTTGTACTGGAGAATGGCTGTGGTGATGACAAGAGGCTTTCTGGTGTTGGCGGTGCTAGGGTTCTGTTCTCATTTTGTAGTTTGATGGTTGTAGTGCCTAGAACAGACATCTTCGTACGAAGCCACATCTAGGACAGCAAGAAAGAGGAACGGCGAATGAAGACAAAACGAAAGCTTAATGATGATGTGGGTTCAGCCAGAGGAAGGGGGACGATGATGCAGAATGATGAAATGATGGTAGAGGACCAACAGGCATTT